CAAGTCAATTTTCTTTCTTTGTCAGACCACATTCGATCAGCTTCTAGCTCCATGTTGATAACCGACCCATTCCTCTATCACCATACACGCTCGGCAACAGACGCGCGCATCCAGTTCACTGAAGTCGGTTTTCCAATGTTCACGATCGCTTATATGTCAGTTCGCCAACGTGCAAAACACGTTTTGAAAAAGGTATGAACTGATCAGAGGAATAAAAAAATTAACTTTGATGTATACACGAGTGTTCGTTGTTAGCATCGTTTGAAATTGTTCATTACACTCTCCTCAACCTCTCCCTTCGCAATGTTGGCTCCCGTTGATCGATGGCCCATCGTATTTGGAAAAGATTTAAAGCTGATCGTGCTCGGAAAACTTTGAAAACCATCCACGGCTTTACACCCTGTAGCCTTAAAACCTTTTTCTTAAACATTTCTGCAGTTTAGTATTTAGTATAAATATATCTGTTTGATCACGCATGGTGTAGTGCCCGTTATTCACTTGATACACTCGCATAGTTTTATTTGGGGGTTAATGACTCGGCTGGGAGACTAGTGTTGAGGTTCGCGGCAAATAGAAACCAAGTTACAAACGAGTGGTTTTCTTGAATATATGGGTATTGTTGGTTTTAACATTCATTGTTATTCAGTCCTGAGGTTAATACAATGGTTTGCTTACCCAGAACGCGCCATTTTCAAACGCGACTTGACCAGGCAGTTTCAAACTGAACGGGTTAGTGGTTGTCAATTATCAAACTTAAAACGGATTCATCGCCCATCTGCCGCTTTCCGAATATTGCAAGGCAGTTTGAATTTTCAATAAATTGCTGTTAAAAACGTCCGACTTTGCGTTTTTCAACTGCGAAGGGATAGTCTTTAGACTTTCTAAATCTTCTTTGGTTTAGGCCCAAATTGTAGCTTAATCATTACTCTTCCATAAGCCGTTTTCCGTTATCTATGTTAGAACTTCAGGAAATCAGAAAAGCGATTTTTGTCAACCCAACTAGTACGTTGGGTTTTGGAACCAACGACCTGGGCTCAAGCGTTGTCCATATAGAGCTCTGCCCAGTTGTTCGAAAGCCGATTAAAATAACTCGAGGTTAGCGTCTATTTCGCGATTAAATTTCTTATTCCCGGGATAACTAATCGGGCGAAAATATGGTGTTCCTGAAAAGAGATTTAATCTTCGATTAACTATCCTTCGATTAAACTCAGATTAAACCGGTAGAACCGGTCTGTGGTGGGAGAAAATGGTGTAGCACTAAGGGAGGGAAGGGATAATTGACAGCTTCTAATATGTTGTTGAATAAAAGGAAAAGGAAAGCCCAATTTTATATCTCAACTACATTTGCTTTCTGTAAGAACCAAAAAAAAAAAATGCTTAAATTAAAATTAGATTTGTGATAAAAATTATGTGCAAGATAAACGCTGGGCGAAGCTCAGTGAATCATGCATCAGGCTAAAAATCAGTGAGCTCTTGAAAATGCTTACCGGTCTAACTTTCAGCCTTACTTCTTAGTAATTTAGAAATTTAGAATAGCCTCTATTCGGATGGGCTGATAAAGGGGAAAATTCTAGAGAAGAAGAAAGCCATGAACTAAGAAAAGAAGCGAAAGCGGAGATTGATTATCTTAATTCTGCCAAATGAGATAAACAATTTTTTGAAGAACAAGCAAGGTCGACAGTAAACAAAACTTGACAATATTTTGTCCATAATACTCGCCTTTATCAAGCCAAAAAAGCCTTTAATTCCATCATTGATCCTTCCTTTTACATTACAGCAGTTAGTAAGCGACGATTTCTACCTCTGAGAACGGAAAATGTTGAAATTTCTCAAAATTTCTTGCTTCGCCCTCGTTGTGTAAAACTGATTTTGCGGATCGCCGAACAGCGGTCCGTCTGTGTTGTGAAAAACCGGACGCGGGATGGCTCGTCCGTGAGAGAATAGTAACATCTAGATTTTCGTCAGGTAGCCCGAATTGCTTTTCTTTCCTTACCCCGGCCGGCATTAAAGCAAAATCAACAAACTGTAAGTCCGCCATTTTGATTTGTTTGTCTGCTTTTTCATCCGATTAGCGAGTTAATCCACCTCGCTAGGTTTGTTAAATTTAACCCTTAGTTTAATCTTTGGATGGTGCTAATCGCGCTTCTAGGAACAGAATTTCATCGAAGGATAAATTTATTCCGTGGATTAGGACAATTTAATCGGTGGGTTAGCGCTAATCGGCTTTCGAACAACCGGGCCTGTTCATTTAGCTTTCGAAATGGGCACTCTCTATTTATCCTAAAATTCTAGTTCAAAATTGAGCTTCCGAATATTTTATCGCAAATGCAACACCGTTTTGTAATTGACTGTAACGGTCTGGAAAATGTTTCGGAATCTCCGAACAAAGAGGGAAAACCTCTTAAGGTACGTCTCCTTTTTTTTTTTAATTTCTTCTCTTAAATTTTCCATTCTATCTGATTATTTTTCACGAATTTTCGGTTGCAGGACATAGGATTTTCTGGTAACCTTTCCAAAACATTTCAGAACCACTCGTTTCTGTTCGATTCGAAGATAAATCGCAATTTGACTGGCTACTTTAAGTAAGCATTGAAATGCCATTGTTTGTTTTGTTTTAGAGTTCCACTTTAATTAGCAGCAGAAAGGACGCTATTTAGAGCAAAAAAAAAAAAAAAAAACAGCGATTCGTAAATAAATCGCACGGCTAAGAGCCAATGAGGTTGCGAGGATCACCAGTGATTTAAAATGAATGTTATAAAAGTTCTACTGGGTTTGATTGTCAGTGGTGAAAGTTAGATCGACTATGCCGGGCGTCATATAGTACCCGCCTTACATGGGGTTAGTGAAGAACAAATTATATTTCTCTGAAAACATTTTAGATGATCATTTTAAAACTATTTTAAAAAGGCAAAATAAAAGAAATGTATATATTTGAGTTTAAATCTAGTGAAAACCACCGCAAAAACTCTCTCTGAATGGTTTAAGTCTAACTGTTCGTAAAGAGCTACGAAAATTTGCATGTTACTTCTAAAATCATTTTGGCGCAATTAAAATTTTCAAAATAACCTGCAAGCTTTTTCAACAAAACGCAGATGTGAACAGAAGCTGTCAGGTATGTCAAGAACAAGTCAAGCTAACATCATATTTATCAGAAACCTTTTCATGTCTGGCAAAATGCAAAATTTGAAAGCTCCATTTTTTCCTCGCTGTTTCTTTTGAAGTACAAAATATACCTGTTTAAGATAGTCATTATAATGAACGCTTCGTTAATAGAATTGAGAATTAATTGCCTTTTTCAAATATGGCACACAGGCTGCAGATACCCTATAGGTCCTTTGTTTATGGCTCTGTGTACATCTATTTTGTCTCAGTCGATAGACATGAAAGAAGAAAGAAAGACTCGTCATATATTGCCTATTGATCAGCCGGTTATCACAGCAACAGCTCACATTATGCAAGCTCCGGAAAATCTTTTTGAAACGTATTGAGAGGTGTGCAATATGTGATGTGCGAGGTGTCTGCATGTTTTGCATTTTCCAAAATTCTCCTTCAATCAGTGTTTGCTCCAAAAATCAACTTCAGATCACGTTTGTTTTACTCTGTAAGTATTTTGAACAACCAGTTCTAATTTAAAATAATATTTTACGTACTTTCCTCGAGATAATCTCATAAAAAGTCGCTTTAAAAACCGTTTGCAATTAGATCCGCACACGACGACTCTTTTAATTGAATTTCGTTGCTATGACAACCCTTTTAAATGCTAATAATGATGACCATAATAGAAGCCTGAGCCTAAGGAAACAGGCGATCTAATCAAACCTTTGATGCGTTTACTCGTTTCCGTTTATGGAGTTTTCTCAACATTTTGTTGCGCTTAGCGCTCCAGAATTTCACATGCCGTTTCGCTAAGGCTGACTGGTCAGCGCAGGTTTAACGCAAATATCGAAACCAAATTGTAAGTACCTTTTCTTTCTTCGAAATAATACATACAAATATAGTCAGTCGCCGAAATTTGATTCAAACGCGGCAGAGTAGGAGTCGATTTGACTGAACGGAAGGTGGGCTCCTGTTTGACTTGACCGTGTTATTCGAGCGCTTCGAAAGTCGCTGAAATTTCAACGCTTGGTGATTCTCGAGTGGCGAATTTTCGCACGGAAACGATGTGAGAACGCGACCAGATGAAAAGCTGTTGTTCTCTTATCGACGAATTGCTGTTATGAATATTTTTCAAGGAATATAGTACGCCGCAGATGGGTAGTGGTTGTTCAAGATCGGTTGTGGATATATCCAGCTCAAACTGGAAACAAGACACTAGAAATTCTGTCTCGAATACGTCGACAACAAACTGTTCTGGATCCACGATAAAAACCATCGCTGAAGCCGCAATGTAAGTAAAACATATCTTGTATTTACTTGTATCTCGCATTTAAAAGTATTGGCGAGTACTTTTCTTTTGCACTGTCCGCACTGTGAGATTTTTAGCAGAAAATTTTCATGACAATGTGGTAGAGATTAATGAACGCAGCGCTTTCATGAGCGGTCTTAAACGGTTTATTTTTGAAGTATCGCAACATCCAAGACACGCCGAAATCTATACTTTTGTCAGCGAAAAAACCGCATTCATATCAAAAGATCTTAGTTTATCAACGTAGCTAACACCCTAGAATATAATTCAAAACTCTGTAGTCAAAAAAAAAACAAAAAACAAAAAAAACCGAAACAGTTGCTATGAAAAGATGAGTTAAATTTTTATTTACAACGGTATACTGCAGTGCCATCTTTCATCCAATTAACACAAGAAAGGGGAGGCTCATTCTTATTCATAAAAAAAAAAAATATGCTTTGATCATAAGGGTAAGACTTACACAAGACCTGAATGCCAAATCGTGACTGATTGCAAAAAGAAGACTCGACAGCTACTGATAACACACCTGCCAAAGCGAATAAGAAGGACGTAAGACGTTTGTGTCACTGGCAGAACGCCGGCAATCAGCTGCCATTGTAAAGGAACTACAACATCCCATCATTTCGATCTCGTTTCCCTTCTTCCTTTGAAAGCTAATCATGTAAGCTACATCTTTCTCTTTTAACGACACTGTTGAATTTTCCACAACCTGGTTCTTGTTGATTAATGATTTTTTGAACGCTTAAACCAAAACATTCTTTGAACGGAAAACAAGTTTACGTTTTGACGTCTTTTTTTTTTAAAAAAACATCGTTTGTATGTGCATAAATTTCGCTTGTTGGCCCCACGTGTTCTCTCGAATCATAGAAGACATTTCTGAGCAGTGAATTTGTAATTAGAAACAACAAACAGCCATTATAATTTTTCTTCCTTCCTCGCATAGCACTACCTTTCAATTGGTTACCGAAAAAGAAAAAAAAGTTAAAATGCAAGAAACTAATTTTGCAAAGCTTTTTGTTATAATGGATCACTCACAGACTACAGCAGGTGAAACAACAAAAAAAACTACGAGATTCATTTCACAGGCAGCGGCGAGGCAAAGCGCTGTCCCCGTTGACACCCCGCAAATGAAAATAAAAATATAAATATCACGGCGATATTGCAAATTATTTTATGGTGAACGTTCTCCCTTGAAGTTGGTTATCGTCTCCTAGCTGTGAAACCACAAAAGTATTTTATTATCTTGACACCGGTGGTAAAGACCGTAGTTTCCCGACCTCAACCCACCGTCCTAACAATCGTTGGCTTTTCATCAACAATAGATTTAAAAGGCAATTAAACCGCCATTGTGGTTTTACATCTGAAAGTGTTATTAGTTGAACCGCATCTCTTTTAACGGTCGATCTGACAGTTTGACCAAACAACAAACCAACATCCTCTTATTGACTATATTTTCTTTTCAATTTTTTTTTTTTTTTTTTTTTTTTTTNAAAATATCGGTAACTGTTATGCTTCAAAATGTCAAGTAATTTTAGGCCCTGTCCACTCTACGACGGAGAAATTTAAAAACGCAGCTTTATTTCTACGGTAAGGTCTACCTTCCACACTAATCTGTCACGACAACGGAGCTTTTCGAAAACGTTCTTCAAACCGGAGGAATTTGAAAACGCCGACTTTGCGTTAGTGTGGATGGAGAACATTTTGAAACCGGAGCTTTTCAAAACGATGACGTTACAATAACCATGTTATGTCTCCCTCAAGTACAAATCCAAAATAGCCAGTGATTGTGTTGTCAAATTTCTCCGGCGTAGTGTGGACGGAAAACATTTGATGCGTTTTCACAGAAAAAACCGCCGTTTTCAAATTTCTCCGGCGAAGTGTGGACGAGGCTTAAGTTTTTGCATGGGTCACAAGCATGACAGAATTCGATTCCGAAGCAAAAGTATGAAAGAATTCTTTTCCGAAAGAATCCGTACACTATATGTTTTTAATTCAGAATGTGTACACAATTATGGAGCAATATTTATTATCAATCTCTGACAATCATGCTCGCACCCAGTTCTTTTGTTAACCCTTTATCGACAAGCAATAACCTTACACCTAACTTGCCAAGTACCCGATTACTGCCTTTTAAAGTCATGATATAAATAAACTGGTTCTTTAAAGACCAGGGGCCCGTTTCTCCAAGGTCCCGAAATGTTTTCGCACCCGGAAAGCCGTAGCAAGATCTCAAACCTTATGATTACAGAGCTGTTTTATTCACATATTCTTAATATAAACACAGGTTCCATTCCGTACAAGAAGTTTCAAGCGTATAGACCTCTGTCTTAAAACACCGATTAACTAAAAATGGCTTTTTGGGTCCAAAAAGTTTACGGGGATTTCAAGAAACGGGCCCCAGGAGGAAAGAAAAAAAACAGTGGTTAGTCTTAAATCATTTCACAAAAAGTGGTAACCGAAAAAAATGTATGCACCAGCGAGTTTTGCCACTTATTAGAATGTGACTGACAAAAAAACTTGACTTTTTCCTGGTCTCTATGGAGTAGTTATCGATCAATCGATCAATTTAAAAGAGAATATCTTCCAGTTAACCGTGTTTGTGTAATGGAGACATAATTTTAACACCGGGATAGGCGTTCCTCGTAGATCTTAACAACTTCTCTGTCTACATTGATTTCGTCTGCAATAGATTTTCGAGTTAGCTACAAGTTCCTTCGGTAATCTTAGGTGGTGTTCTATTCGGATCGACCGTTTCAAACCGCAGCCTGTTTGGCTTGATACTGTTGACGTTCCTCAATAGAACACTTTTCCAACCGTTTTCGGTTGAAACAAGGTAACTCCTGGGAAAAGCTGCAATCACGCCACATAATAACGCAAATGCTTTTTCAACTGTTTCAACCTGGTTTGAGGTCGCTAGAAAAAGTTAATCCACCAAACCAACCGAAAATGTTTTTTTGTTTTTTTTTTTTTCAAATAGAACACGAAAACAAAAAAAACCCAACCAACCAGAAACGGATACGAACAACTTAATTTTACGCGTCATTTTGTGTCGTGTAACTACATAGGTCAGAGAATTCTAACAAATCCGAACTCAAATCAAATCCGAAAGAAATGGATTAGAGTGAAAAAAGCATAGACAGTACACTAGTTTTCAAAATGAACGACAACCCACATCAATACATGCATCTCTCTAGTTTCTCTGGTGCGTATGTCTATGGCAGAATTATTTTGAAAGCCACATTATATTCAAAACCCGTCAGAAGTACGTGTAGTTTTTCGATTCCAACCCTGCAAAAAACTTTGCGAATCAAAATCTCATGTTGTAACTCCAAAAAATACTCATGGTTAGGTATAAAAGTTAACTACAGACATCTCAATGTCTGAAAAGACTGTTATTTGCGGGGTTCTACAGGGATATATTATTGTTATTTATTGTTGTTGTTTCTCTTGATTTTGAATTATATTTATGATATTTATGAGCGAAACCGATAAATTGAGTAATGTCTTGTTTTTACACGACACTAGCCAAGACGTCAGCAAACTTGACCTATAGAAAACACAGGACTATATTAGTGTACAAGAACTACGGATATTAGTGTCCAAGAACTGCGGACATTCACTTTTAATATTTCTCTGAATAATTTTTAACTTTTGCAAAAATGGTTCAAAGTAAAAATTGCATATTAAATTGATCGCAGAAAGAGATTGACAGAACATAAAAACTAAACGTTTCCAAATTTAACCAGAGTGGTAATTTTGTCTTCTTGAAATCCTGTCACAAAATCGCCTAAATGCTTGCAAATTTGACTTGTGATAATCCACTTCGTTCCTAGTAATGCTGTACTTCTTTCTTATACGCGCTTTCAGTGTTACGTGCATGGCAACTATCTCTCTACATGCCATCTTTCGACATGCCATGTAACCTGGCCTACGTTAAAATGTAAGCACAAATGGCTTCTTTACGGTCGAACTCGACTTTTCATCATGAAAGATGGATTTATTTGACATCAAACCAAGGCTAGGAGTATCAAGAAAACATTCTGTGAGGGATAAATCGACTGCTTTGAATGTTTACATCTTTCGAATATTAACTGAGCGGTACGGCTCAATTCTACCGTAATTAAGTCACCATTGAGAGCCGATCGACTACACTAAAATCGTTTGAATTATCCCGTAAATCGGAATTCCACAATCTCCTTCATTCATTTAAGGTCAGTAATTATCATATACTTGTCATTTGTTCCGCTAATAACCGGAAAAATTGCTAGTTTTAAAGGTAAACGATATTTCAGCCGCTTACATAGCATGTCGAAAGATGGAATGTCGAGAGATGGTCGAAAGATATCGCCTATGCACGTAACACTGAAAGCGGGTGTAAGCTATTTGTTCTGTACAGTCTTGTTAACCAATTTGTTAATACATGTGAAGGTATTTGGCGATATGGAATGAATTTTTTTAAAGAGAACTTTCGATAATCGGTCGGGACACTTTGTTAAAGCTCATCAAGGTTTCCTGAATATTAATTAGTCTTGTTAGCAAAGCCATTCCATTGGAACTTTCCAGTATGTATAGAGAAAGAAACATTGATTCACACAGCAACAATAAAGTGTACGAACTTAGACGTTTTTGAGAATCATGACAATAGCATCATTAGCCTCCATCGCTTGTAGGTACATGTAGAAGGCAGCCACCTAGTCGATGAACAAAATATTCGTTTTAATTTATATTTGCCATTTGTGACTTACTCACTCGGCCTTTCGAGTCAGTGCTGTATGATCGAAATAAATTTGAATAGAAAACAAAAGCGCGTAACTCTAAAAGGCGGTCGTTGGGTTCATTAGGAGGTAGTCAGAGCCAAAAGAGTGGTCGTATAAACAAGATGGTCCTATAAGGCAAAGTACGCTTCATTCTACAAAAACTGCGACACTAGACGCAACATAAGAAGCAGTTAAATCAATGGCTCTTATGCTACGGACACCAACGTAATATATAACTGTTTTAACCATTCATCTTCTAGCTGGAGTCCATTCAAGCTCAGCCGTTCTGAAGCCGAGGAATTGCTGTCTCGAGCGGAGCCTGGTGCCTTTGTTTTTTCCCATGACATGACATCAGAGTTGTTTCTATCGATTTCGTAAGAAAGTTTTTTCATGTCTCCTGCTATACATAACTTTAAAGAAGCTGTTTCCTTGGCTGCAGAATCGCATATCCCTTATTGGTCGTTCGCTGCTTCACTCTCTTTGTTAATTTTGTGTTGGTGTCGTTTTCTGTTTGATTTTTTGTTCCTTTCTGTTTATTTCTTGTTTTGTACATTGCATATTTTTAATTTTCGCCAGTGTCGTTGATCTCCTTGTGCCCTAACACGTTCATTTCAAAGGCTTTGCTTGAGTAAGGTCAACATAACTCTTGTGTTCTTGTCTCTCACAGCGTCGGAAAATACGTTTGTCATCACGCAGTCCTAACACGTGACCAAGGCTATTACGTCGGTGCTAGGCGGTTCACGACAATAGGAGATGTGGTTGATTATTTCACAGACCACCCTTTGGGAGAAACTACTTTAAAACAAGAGGTAAAGTCTCATTAAGGACCTGCCAGATAGTTATTAGGGGTTGTATATGGTCAAACCTCCAATAACCGCAACTCTTTTTGCTCCCTCCCGATAGACGGTCCATACATTCACCCTTATTTTATCCTCTCTACAACGACCACCTCGATCTTCACAACGGCAACGGCCGCTAAAGTGCGTTTCAACTGCCAAAATAACCTTTCCACAACGGGCGACGGGACTTTATATTATTTATTTGAATGCCTCGTGCCCTGTTACAGTGATTTTTCAGATAAGAGAACTGAATTAATCTGTGGCCCTAGAAGTACAGAACATCTGCCAAATTATCTGATGTCGTCACAGTTAAAATAATTTTGTTTTGTCTCCGTTCATTATAGTGCAGAACAGCACCAAGGTGCACGTCTCAAGTTCAAATCAAACACCATCCAGATATAACTATCCCCTGCCCGCCAAATATCGCTACAAATGGACAAAACGCCAGCGATCTTGACAGCAATCAGAGGCTTTCCACCGGTCAAACGACCGTCTGTGGTACAATTAACCAATCACAATCACCCAAAATAACGCTGACGTCACACTCTTCAGCTGATGATAAGACTCCCGCGGAGGTTGATGATGCTGTTCGGGTGGCAATGGAAACTAACAAGTATCAACTGCCGAAGAATGGTCCCCGAGTTGATTCGTTAACAAAGAAAGCGCTGACAAGAAGCATGGCAATCGATAGAAGTGACTCTTCGGGAGGTAAGCACCGTATTCTTACTACTGGACAGGGACAGACGTCGCAATTTAGACGGGGCGTGTGGAAGGGTAGGGGGGTGGTGGCTGGTTCAGGGGTAAGAGTGGAGACGGCGGAAAACGAGAGGAGTAGGGAAGATTTCTGACTTTGGATTGCATAATATGTTGTAAAAACACCGGGCACAGGAACCAACGGGACACGAGGCGGGAAATTAAAGTTATTCAATTAATTTCAACAGAATTTCAAGAAACAGCACTTTCACCTCTGTTACCAACAAGAAATTCAGCAGTGAAATGAGGCATGGCTTAGAGCAGAAACACAGCTTCACATCAGTAGAGTCCGATAATTCCAAGTCCGTTTGAAAGAAACGAGTAATAGAGTTTTGCTGTACCCAGGGCCTCAATTTGGAGGAAGCATAGTTGGACAGTGATCCGTGGAATTATGCAACTGGTTTCTAACTCGACGGTTTACAAATTTCGAGTCAGACATGTAGAGCTCCTGAAATATTTGATTACTGTCATGAGATTACCTTAAGCATTTTACAAGATGCGGCCATCGTTATGGCAGGTTAAGAAAGCTGATGACGAAAAATTTCCCTGGATGAGAGAAGTAAAACAGTTTTCTGGCGGTTTATTGTGGTCAGAAAAGATGAAGCTAGAATTTCCAACGGTCAAGCGAAAAAAATACAAGACCACCTCTGGTTTGGGTTACCTTGAAGTATTTTCTTAACAAAATTGTCAGGGAAAGACTACTGTAAGAAAACATTATAAAACGAGTAGTGGTAATTTAAATTACGAGGCGATAAACATTAGGTGGAGTGAAAGCTGATGATTTGGGAAATTTGCGCGAGGTAGTTTTGGCGATAACAACGCATTATCGTTCCCAGTGCTAATCGTTTTAAAATTACTTTATGGGTAGCATTGGTCACACGAAGAAAATTCGAATCCTGATTCGAATATTTTCATTGGCTGACCCCGGGGAGCATGCTTTAGCCTTAGCTTTGCAAAACTATTCGCAAGGCGCGAAGGCGAAAAAAAAGAACGAGGCCAATATTCAGTCATCTCGACCGAACAAGCTTGGTGAATAAAGGATTTATTATACAGTATAAAACACCAAAAAAATGATCTTTGTACTTGTTTATCTTCAAGGACTGCAAGGAAGCGAGTTGCATGCAAAAATCAAGGGCGCGTGCCTTTTTATCCTGATTGAGTACGATCATTTGATTGGTTTACATTTTTGACGAGTAAATGTCTAACCTCTGAATGGAATTAAAGTGATTCCTTACTATTGCATGGCGCATCCCTACTGTGATTTTCGCATCATTAGCGCGCGCACATGAGCGCGTGCGCGTACAAAACGTAAGAGATTTCCATCAAACTAAGCTCGATAGCGAAATAAATGCTCCTTTTCTCTTTTAAAAACGAGCACGGCGACCCCCACTTTTTATTTCATAATATCAGTAACTGAGAAAAAAATTAGTAGAAATCTATGGCTTCTTTTTTGGCAAATGAAATACATACTGCAGAGGGAGACATAACGGGCCCAACAGCACATGTCCAAATTATGTATCCTTTAAAGGATAAAATAATGCAGGGTATTTGAAGACATTTTCTCTGGGACGTACATAAATAAACAAACAAAGAAAGTCAAACTCTGTGTCATATAACACGCTACATTTAAAAATAATCGAGCTTATTTGTTGCGCACGGAGATTACCATAAGTCACCTAGATAACAGTATTTGTCAGCATTGTGGCGTGAAAACAAACACGGTGACCCCTCTTTTTATTGCGTTTTTAATATCTCCTTGTCCTGTCAGCATACCAAGTTTCATTGGAAATCTATGGCGGTTTACTAGGGAATCACCTAAACAAATGGACGAAACCGCTCGAACTCCTCGATCAAAGCAGTTTTTGAACCTCAAAAATGTCTCAAAATGGCTTCAATTTTCAATACTTAAGTTCTAAAGAAGATTTAACCATTAGAGCAAGAGTTGTTCATTTCATCTGCCCTTCTCTTTCGCCGATCCTTGCTTGAAAGAATAATTGCTGGGCTCTGTGGCGCTACAAAGCTGTCGGATTCATCACACTCGAAAAGCTTGTCTTCCTCGGCCATGTTTTTCAACAAGTATTCAGCGTTTGGCACTCAAAACTTCTCCAATAATATTCGCGTTTGAGCCTCTTTTGCTCCAGGAGCGATGAAGATTTCGTTGAAAAGACGTCAAACTGACAGGCTTGTACTATGCCATCTAGTTTCTTCACGATTTTGTAAACATTTGCACAACAGCAAATTCATTTCTCCCTCGGGTATGTCACATAGTTCCCTATCTTCTCGTTTTCTTGGAAATAATACCGCTTCAATGCCTTCATGTCATTTTGTGTTTATACTACTTAAGCTTGTTGCAAAATAATTTCATGAAACTCGTCAACATTTTTGTTTTCTTTGTTTTCATTCTCGTTGGGGCTTTCAGTCTTCTCGTTTTCCAATTCCATTGATACAGAAATCGTCAGGGAAAATATTTTTCACGGCACAAATTACGAAAGAAAATTTCGGTTAACCGGCCACTACTTCTGAGAAATCTTTCTTGCGGGACACAGCGCGTAATCCCAAGCGGATAACATAGCTCCATCTTGCCCGCTCGGGTAGCCTATCACAGCGCAGGATTTGGTTCGTCTTGCCCGCTCACGGAGTTAGCCATATAATAATATCTCTATTAAGCCCCCTTTTCTAGAGGTACAATTTTGCCATAAGCCCCTCTTCTCCCTGCACCTAGCTTTTATCGTTTGGCAACAATTTTGTTTGTTTGTTTGTTTTTGTCGTTTTGCTCCTTTGTTGTTGTTTTGTTGTTTGTTTGTTTGCTTTTTTTTGCCATAAACATTACCTGACCACTGGAACTTAAAGCCCTAACCTGTCCCCACTTTAATAAAAGAAGCAACTGCAACTACCACACATTTTTATTTTATTACGTATTACAATAAAAATAATCAGCAAATAACAATAATTTAATCATCCATGCAATTAACTGTGCACGAAAATCAAAATAATTTGGAATATAAACTTGAAAGAACCAAATTGCTCAGTTTTCAATAAAGTATCCAGGGTCCACTAATCACAAACCAAACATAAAATCTGAGGTGACTCTAAACTCCCTGAGCAGAAGTTTCTTAAACTTTGAAAAAACTTGCATGTTAATAAACAAATGGGGGTCACCAAGCTCGTTTTTTGAGTTACAAGCTAGAACGTTAACTGAGGTTTTTAACAGGTTGCATTGTTCCTGTAGCAACTGTTTATTCAAGGGGAATGACCTAAACTTGTTGACCACTGATTGGGTATCAGTGAGATACCATTATTTGAGCATCACTTGATAAACAGTGGCAGTATTCATCCGTCTAAGTATAGCTATTGGAAAAGTGTTGAAAACTGTTGCCAGCCTCCTTAAGACAATACTTAATTTCAAACCTAATCGGAAAATTCATTCTGTATGAGTTACAAGGACAGCAATTTCGGCAACTCACATCATCAGCCAACACACTTTGAAGTGTGATTTGAAAATCACACTTCAATCCACAATTAGATCACTCTTAAATCACACTTAGATCACACTTCAGTAAATCACACTTAGATTACACTTAGTAAATCACACCGAGATCACACTTTAGTTAATCACGCTTAGATTACACTGAAGTAAATCACACTTAGATCACACTTAAGTAAATCACACATGGTTCAACTGATGCGTGACTACAGGCAGAATCCACTGAATGCATCATACTCTGTGGCTGAGAAGAAACAAAAGAGAAAGGATCCTATACTACAGCACATTTGTTCTATACCTTTCGCACGAACATGTATAGCAGAGAAGCTGTCCATCAGGTTGCCAATAAAATGCATATAACCTCCAAATGAAGGACCAGCCAAGTATAAAGGACAGTCGTCATCCGTTAGAGGACACTCTTTCAAACGCCAATGCTATATAGTCATTAACATTTTTAAGAAGAAGGGAAACTCCACTAATATTACAAAAGGCTGAACTCAATGGTCCCTTATTTGGTGGCTTCACTGCTTATCCACTTATTTGACCTTATATTATTATGATTATAGCCACGTAGTTCAAGCTCAAACCTGCCTTTTAATTTGTAGCCATTATTGTGAAAAAAAAAAAAAAAAAAAAATGGTGGACAGGCTTACACAGAGTTAAGAGATTAATGTAATATCGTGACGGTTCGTAATCCGATTTTTTAATCTCGGGTAACTTTTACAGTCTCTTAAGTGATGCATTTTACATGACCTGACACTCCCAAAAGTTATTTTCTATCGGTTGTAAAGATATTTATTACTTTACATTGAGAAACTGTATGCACTATTTTTTTTTTTGAGACACCGCCGGCATTTCCGATCCCATTTTGAATGCCCGGGTCGAGACAGCCAATCACATCAAGGTTTGGTTCATCCATAGTTAATAGAGGGAAATGGTTAGGAAACCTGGCAAAGTTTTGTTGTATGCATGTTTTTGTTGGCTATTTTAGGAGTTGACCCTGCACAAAACCTGGCAAAATACAAAAGGCGGTCATGGGTACTCTTGCAACTAACCAATATCAGCATTGCGATTATGTAACTCATGAATAGTCTATGAGCATAAAACAAAAGATGTGCAGGGTCAAGGACCTTAAAAGCAGGACATAAATCTGAGAATTTTTGTTTGCTTCTTTGACATTTACCGGCCTTCTTAACCATTTTCATCTATTAACTATGGTTCATCTTACACGCCCTCTGAACTGACTGTATAAATGTATGTTATTGAACTAGCTTCTTCAGTCCGTGTTGGACTTTTTTGCAGGTGTATGGACCAATATTTTCCAATACGGACCGAACAAGCTAGTTGATTAAAGTATTTATTTAAATGGCTCTTTTCAATCTGCTGGTAAATTGATGTGTCTCCGGGATCATTCTCGTTGAACGCGAGCGCGAAAGGCAAGCCTTTATTTAAGTTGTTCTCGTCGCTTTTGTGAACATTTAGGTTTTTTAAACTGAAATTGCCCTCTAAACATAAAAAAATGTTTCTCCTGTACAAAACAATAATTACTTTATGCAACGAATGAAAAAGCATTTCGCTGAAATTAATTAGGCGGTCCACCTTAGTGATCCATATTGACTACTAAGGGAACCAATCAGTTCAGGCATATAAAAATTGTAAATAATAATGCCAGCTGCTTGCTTAGTTTAGTGCAATACCCATTAATAACTTAACGAATGTTTATGCCATCACTGTTACTTGGTATTAAAGAAATGTAAACAACGTGATAGTCGAAGAAGAAAAAATTACGATAAAGTTATGTTTTGTTTTCCCTTGACCTGTAACAAAAAATTTAAACACAGAAAATAAATACATGAACATTTTAACCTTTCTACTTTTTGTTTTTGGTTTTGAATTTTTAATATTTTATTTCAATCTTTATTTTCGTGTCCGCAATTAGTGCTTGTAACGTAAAATTTGTAAAGGTTTTTATCCTATATGATCTTATCTTACGTAGAACAAGATCTGAAGTGGCCCTTTTTGTACAAAATGTATTTTCGCTATTGGATGACGAGATAACAGTAATGTTTGGCTTTTCTTGTAGTTGCATGTCCAACGACAGTCGTCTCCCCTGACAAGAGTCAAATGGTGACAGACTCAAGTTAACAATTAAAACGCCCCATGCGAATTTAATGCCGTCCTTTAAAAGTGAATTGGAAAGCAAGGCAAGTGTACTGAAGGAAAACAAACTTACCGGCATAAGAGCTGACTTTTGGTATCAGAAAAGACACTAACAAGAACTGAACTGGGAGGACGAAGAAGCTAAACATGCTCGCAGGCGGCCCAAGAAAAATATTAATGAAAAATCCTGCTAGTTATTTGCGTTGCAACGTGTAACAAAGAGATATTTTGTTATTAGTATTTTTTGACAGAGTTAATTATTTCACCGATAGATTTTGACCAATGGACATTCTCGTTTGTTCAGTTTACTAATCACTGGTTATTACCACTACTAT